TATCCTTAGAAAAGACAACCTACGAGGTTTCTTTGTTCATAATTCATATGGAGTCTTTTCTACAGCTTTTGATGGTGCACGGTTCAGTTTTAGTGTTGCAGTTAGAAGTGTGTGTCCCAAGAAAGAGATAGGAAGATCACTACGACCCATTGTTGATCATACCATGTCTAACAAGGTTTGATTTCACCTTTCGGATACTCCGTTACAATGTAGAGTTCCTGGAGGTGTCAATTCTGAAAGTATACCTTTTTCTTTTAGATGGTCATCGAATTCTTGGCTCAACTATTCACCACCTTGATCCGATCGAAGGGCTTTGATTTTCTTGCCAAGCTGATTTTCAACTTCACTCTGAAATTCTTTTAACTTTTCAACGATTCAGATTTATGCGACATTAGGTAGACATAACCATATCTACTATAGTTATCTGTGAAGGTGATAAAATATCGGTGTCCATTTCTTGTGGTTGAGCTCATTGGTCCACACACATCAGTGTGTATAAGACCTAATAAGTATCCTGCCCTTTCTCCTAGCTTGGAGAATGGCTGCTTAATCATCTTGCATAATAAACGTCCCTCGCAGTTCTCAAACGATTCTAAATCGAAAGAGTCAAGAACACCTTCTTAAAGAAGTCTATTGATGCGTTTGATGTTAATGTGGCCAAGATGACAATGCCACAAGTAAGTTTGGTTTGACTATATGGTCTTAGCTCTTTTGGTATTATCATAAACAATTTTGTCTAAACACACAGAATGTGTAATTTCCATCAATATAAAAAAGAAATTTAAACAAAAGGTCTTCTGATCAAGGTTTAAAATGACATGCAACGTCGCAAGATCAAAGTATGGTAGATAAAACTTAACAAGTATGGTAGATTTACTTCTTCATCCACTTGTGTACTCACGACCACTTGAAAAAACACCGCTCATTTCGTTCCTAAAATAAGTGCATAAAATGAGTCAATTTTCCGGTATCAAATACCTTATAAATTGCTTATTTTCAAGTGTGTGGATGATATCTGAGATTGAGGCCATCTTTCCTCCTGCCTCATCTTCCAGATACTCGCTACATTCTCTTTTGTAGTGGCCTCGCTTACTACAATAGAAGCAGCGCATCTTTGCCTTGTTTTTGAACTCCTTTTTCTTGAGCCTTAGAGAAAACGTAGCCGCCTTGCAAGAATAGGTTTTCTGGAGCTCTTGGACAACTTCCTTGTAGGACAGTTTGTTCCAATTTTTGTTAAGTCGCATCTTAATTGTAACATACCCCGAGTGGAGTGAGCTTAAAAGAATATAAGTCGCTTGCTCATCCTTAACCGGTTTACCAATCAGTTCCAGATGGTTAAATAACCTTGTCATCTTTTGCACATGGGCTTGAAGTGGCATCTCGGGTCTAAGTCTTGCACTATAGACCCTAGCCCATACTTCTTGCCTTTCTTTGCTAAGACATCCATCTTGCGGTGGCTTGATTCTCATGTTAGACAATGACATAGTAACTTCTTCCACGAGTCCATCATAGTTGCCCTTATCTCTCTTTGTTACCCTCAAATTGACCACATCTTCTAGAGCCTTGAGAAGTACATCCGGAAGGTAGTTAGAGAGTTTATTCTTCCACTGTTCCAGAATGGAGTTTTTCATGAGTTGAGAGACTCTCTTGCAATCATAACTCCACTCCTCATGAGCCATATCGCTCATAATCCCTTTTAAGTAGAAACTCGGGATGGGCGTATCCAAGATATGCTCTAGGTAGCAATTGCGGTGCGTCAAACGGAGTTCCTATTCCCATTCCTTGAAGTTTACCAAATTCAAGCTAAATGATAATTTCTCAGGAAGTTCTAGTAACATTAGATTGTTGTCGATAGTTGAAGACATGATTCTACATTTGAAATAATTTTGAAAATGAAAAACCATTCATGAAATTAAAATAAGATTGAATTCATGCTTTTTAATCAAACTTATTTAAAACGTCTTATTCACACATTTAAAGTTGCCCCCAATTTGGTGAGAATAAGTCGATTCCAAGATCCAAAGAAACAAAGAGTGGTTAAGCATGCTTTGGCTTGTCTTAACACTCAATCTCCTAAGGTAAGCAACGCTTTGCTAATGGCTCCAAGCCACTCTTGGTTGAATAAATCGTCGCATCTAATGCTCTTGGTTGAACAATTTATTCACTTTACCACGACATGTTAGGACTCCATCACTCATATCGTTGAGTACAACCAAAACCAACTTGCATACCCGGTATGCCTTACGCTACTAGGAGAGGTAGTGATGCCTCGCTTTGTCATAGCCCACCACAACCCTCGTTCGGCTGGTAAGTGTTGTTTTGGAATGACAAGTTTTTACTCAATATTTAGGGACCTAGGGTTTCTATGTTGGTTGATTTAAGTGAACTTAATTAATCATCACAACATTCGAAATCCTAAACATGCATCTAACATATAATTCATATACATCAACATATATATATATATATATATATATATATATATATATAGATATATATATATATATATATATATATATATATATTGAAAAACAAAAATAAAGATGTATTTGGCAACTAGCATGACCCCTTGAGATCTTCAAATCTTCAAAAGTTCTTCATTGAAACTTTCATGGCTACGTCTTTCAAGAACCTGCATGACCCCTTGAGATCTTCTAATCTTCAAAAGGTCTTCATTGTAACTTTCATGGCTACGTCTTTCAAGAACCTCCATCTTCAAGACTTGACCATAATTAACTGCAACTACTAGTATCTACGATTAGGACTAATCTAAATATTAAGGTACAAAAATACTCAATGGTATGCAGACCGTATTTAGATTTACAAAAATGCATCACGAAGCACAGTCCGTATTTTCTATCCTAATCGGGCACCACTAGTTGCCATTTCATAAAACCTGTGAGAGAATAAACATTCCATTCATCCATTCATTGTTTGTGAATGGCCCATGCATTTTACAATGATAAACAAGTAACAATGCATAAACACCCGTGAACTAGTAATTAATCTAGGTGGTTAATCCAATTAACACGCCTAATTAAAACTAGTCAAAGTTGTTTTAACCGATTATGTAAATAAGCGCAATTAACATTTGAAGCTCCCACTAAATTCCGCATCCAACTTAATTAATCCAATTAATTAAGGCGGTATTTCCCAAAATTTGTCAAAATAAATTTTGCCAATGCCGCTCAAAACCGAGGCCTAGCCTCCAAAATTTAGTAAAATAATTAAAAAAAATTAGATTAATAAAATAATTAAAACGACAATTTTTAAGCATGGAGTGCTCACATTTCGCATGGAGTGCTCACATTTCGCACAACCGTTAGATGCTCAATGAACGTGGGAGTAAGCCCGATGTCGCCAAGCGTTACACCGCCCACATCACCGAAATTTCACACATCAATAACGTGGCCCTTAATGACCATGTTGAACGAATTCATTGCACTACATTGCTTCTCTAGCAACGTCTACGCATACCCCTAATTACACGATGCATGCACCAAGTCCCAAGCGATGCACGATATGCTCGTGCTTGCACTAGCCACGGCCAGCCACGCAAGGCAGCACGCACAGGCGTGCACAGCACCTTGCTGCTGCTGCGCCGTGGTGCTGGAGCTCCATGCTGCTGGCAGCAAGCAGTAGCCATGCATCGGCTCGCACGCAAGCTCGGGGCTGCATCCTTGGCAGCCACATGCGGGCTGCTATGCAGCTCGGCTAGTCAAGTGATGTGTTGCCTCGTTATTCGTGCCACAGCCTAGGGATTTTGATCCCAATTTTGCATGACATAATTATTTATTCTAAATTAATTTTAGAAATAATTCGTTTGAGCAAAAAAAAAATTTAAACAAGTCTAACTTAAATAAAATTTTTAAAGTGCATGTAACCAAAATAATTCCCAAGAACCATTCTTTAATTAAACGAAAATTTGGATTTTGGTACCTCAAATATAGGGATAATTGAATTAAGTACCCATCTAAAATTTTATTTTAAATTGGTACCTCAAAAACATCAAAACTGTAGATATCAGTACCTCCGTTAAGCTTCTGTCATATTTTCCGTTATTGGGTCCCAGTTACCAACCTTCCCTCTCTTTCTTCTTTCTCTCTCTTCGATCCTATTTGAATTCCCTCCCTTTTACTCTCTCTATCTCTCTCTTTGCCCTGTTCCTCCATAATCAAACTCCTCAACCACATGCATTTACTCCATAGTTACACTTCAACCACAATTTATTTCTCTCTCCACTGTCAATTGTTAGGTTAATTTGTTTTATTGTCACTGTAATTTCTGCAATTGAGTGTGGCGTGGATTTTTACTGGAAGCTCACATCAGCAACTGGGAAAGGCTTGGACTTGGGAGTCGTCATCTCCATTGACACTTAGGGGAATCTTCTGACAACGACCCAGGTATGGTTTCTTCAACTTTTTTTACCTTTCCATTAATGGTTTAAGTGCAATTTGGATCAATTTTTTGGGCAATTTTGGAAAATAAATTCGCAAACCCTAGAAATGTGTGTGTTGATTAAATTAAGGTTAAATAATCAGTTTTAAACAAATTTATTAACAATTCATTGTGACTGTATGCTTAAGTGTGGTATATGTGTGGAATATTGTGACTGTATGCTTAAGTGTGGTATATGTGTTGTTGCATGTACTGTGTTATTTTACTTAAGTCATATGAACTTAATTAGGGTGGGTTATGTTTGTTAAGGTACAAGTACTTTATTTTTTGCTTAATTTGTAGATTAAACAAATGGATCAGCTTGATAACACTGTTGGCATAAAGCAAAGACTGTTTGGGGGTTTTGTGTTTAAGAAAAGAAAAAGAAAGGGGAGTGAGTATCAAGTATATGAGGCTGGTTTTGTGTCTTGGAGGTTGAATGTGCCTTTGTCATTTATAACTGTGTTGTACTTGAGATGGTTATGTGCTGAAGGGTTTAGGGGAAAGGGGTTGGCAGTCCCTCAAATTTATGTGTTATGGTATAAGAGAAGGGAGAAACATGGATGACTGGGAAAAGGAGATTAGAGGATGATGAGGCTCTAAAGGGGTTTCTTGAGGCCAAACACAAAGATGGGCACTTGGAGTTATTTTGTACTGTTTCTGAAGAAAACCCTGACCAAAAAAATCCATTCCAGACTGAATGGCCAAGTGAAAACCCAAACCCAAACCTGAGCCCACCCAAAGACATTGAGAGTCAGTCTAAAGTCAGCCCACCTCAAACTTCTCTTACTAAAAAAGTGTCAAAGCCCACTGTTATAGCAAAAAGCTCAGCAAAACAAACTCACAAAAAGGCTTCAACTGCATTAGTTGTGAGGAGTAGCCCTAGGTGGCAACAATCCATAACAACAACACTTAGGAGGAGTCCTAGGTTTTCTGATGGGAGTGATAAGGTGAAACCTGCAATTGATAAAGGGAAAGGGAAGATTTCAGAAGAGCTTGAGTTGGGTAGCAGGAGAGAAAAAGAAGAGGGGAAAGGAAAAGGCAGGTGTCAAAATAGGTTGTTCATTGATGATGAGGATACTGAATCTGGATCTTCAAGTGAGGATTTGAGTGACATAGATATAGATTGGAATCTAGGAGAGGAGGAAGAAGGTGATTCTAAAGATGAGAGGGTGGATCAGGGTACAGGTCACATTTTAGGAGAGGTAGATAGGAGCTTAACAATTGTGCAGGCTAGTCAGAGCAGTAAGCAGTTAAGGATATTGGGCAGCCTAAGGTTGAACTTCAGGAAGAAGGAAGTGATGATGATGAGCTCAGAAGTGAGCATGGGTCTGATGAAGAGGCAGATGACAGTCCATGGTTTAGAGAGGAAACAGATTTCAAAAAACCAGTTGTGTTAGTGAAGGGTCAGAAATTTAGCAATATTTTGGTGCTTAGGAAAGCTCTAAGAACTCATGTAGTAGAGAATAGATATGAGTTCTATTTTTTGCACAACAACAAGTTCAAGTTGACCACTTTCTGTAGGAGGAGATGTGGGTGTGTATGGGATTCAAAGAGGAGCAAGCTGCCTGTTTGTCAGTGTAGTGAGGAAGTTAGGAGGTGCAGGTTCAAGGTGATTTCTAGGCCTTTGTTCAAGAGTTGTGCCTGGAAAATTCATGATATTAGGTTAGAACATAACTGTATGAGGAGCAACATGAATGCAATTGTGGCTGCTGAGTGGTTAGCTGAAAAATATGTAGAAGAGTGGAGAATTAATCCACACTGGAAGACTAACAGCTTCAGGGATAGAGTGTTAAGTGATTTGGGTATCAAAATTGGGTACTACAAGGCATGGCTAGCTAGAGAAAGGGTAAAATTCATGATATATGGGTCTGCATCTGAGCAGTATGCCAGAGTATGGGATTATGGCAAGGCTGTTCAAAAGTATAGCCCTGGGACTGTAGTTAATGTGGTGGTAGATCAGCTGGAGAGGCCAGAGCCACCTTTGTTCTTAAGAATGTTTGTGTGCCTGTCTCCATTGGTGAGGGGTTTCTTGAAAGGGTTTAGGCCACTAATAGGGGTGGATGGATGCCATTTGAAAGGCTCTTCCCCTGGTCAAATTTTGGTGGCTATAGGAAAGGATGGGAACAACAGTATCTACCCCTTTGCTTGGGCTACTGTTGAGGTGGAGAATAAGGAAACATGGTGCTGGTTCTTGGAATGCTTGAAGCAGATTCTAGATGACTTAGAAATGGGAGGTGGATTCACATACATGTCAAATATGCAGAAGGTTAGTTGAGAATGTTGTATTTTTTTAGCTTTTTGTACATGTCTGCATTTATGTGTAATTGACAAGAGTATTTTGATCTTATGTGTTAGGGACTGCTTGAAGCATTTGAGGAGGTGGTGCCTTTTGCTGAGAAAAGATTTTGTGTGGGGCATATATGGGCCAATTTAAAACTGCAGTTCTCAGGCTCCACATTCAAAGAACTGTTTTAGAATGCTGCTAGGGCCACTACTTGGGTATGAATAGCTCTCAACATATTGATTTTGTTCTGTGATTTGTTGTTGATTTATTTATGTTTAAAATAGTAGTTGTGTTGTGTGCTTTGTTATTGATTTATGTTGCCGATTTATGTTTAGAGCAGTATTTGTGTTGTGTGCTTTAATGACAGACATGAAAGGTTCTATTTTTTTAGCAGAAACAGAGTAGCAGCAAATATGGTAGGAGCAGGATCTTTCTTCTACAATACTCTTACTGCATTTTTCATTTAGCAAATATGCTACAATGCTCTTACTGCCTTATATATGACAGTCCTCACAGTTAACCAAGGGATTTGGCCTCTTAGGACCACTAGGAACCTTACAGCACATTACAGAACAAAACAAAAGACTGCTAGCCTATGACAACACTACTAGACAGACAATAATATACTACGACATATATTGCGACACTCTATTTCATCATGCTTTGTTGGTGATTTTTGATTAGAATAGCTCTGAACTATGCTGGCATACCGTGTTGATTTGCAAAAAATAACTTTTCTCAGCAAATTATGGTTATATATTGTGTGATCAATTGTTGATTAGCATGTCATTGTGGTTGTATATTGTAGGCTGACTTTGAAATTGCAATGGAATCCATTAAATTCCTGAGTGAGGATGCATATGAGTATCTAGCCAACATTCCTGCCCAACATTGGACTAGGCATGCCTTTTCAACTAACTGCAAATCCAACATGCTTCTTAACAATATGTGTGAGACATTTAATGCCTGTATTAGAGAAGCTAGGGATAAACCAATCCTAACCCAAATGGAGTGGTTAAGGAGATATGCAATGAAAAGGCATAATGATAAGTGGGAGGGTGTGAAAAAAATACAAGGAAAAGTGATGCCATATGTCAGTAAGTTGTTTGAAAGAATGGAGAGGGTGGCTAGGCATTGCATATTACAGGTGTCAAGGGATGATACCTATGAGGTCAACCTAAATGCAGACCAAGTGACAGTTGACCTTCAAAACAGAACATGCACATGCTATCACTGGCAATTAACTGGCCTCCCTTGTGTGCATGGCTTTGCTTGCATACTTGACAAGAGAACTGATCCAGAGGAGTTTGTGGATCACTATTACACAAGGGAGAGGTACATTGAGGCATATGACTTGCCTGTGCAACCTATGCCAGGTCCCAAGCACTAGGAAAAGGTGAAAATGAGAGAGCCACTACCTCCACCAGTGAGAGTCATGCCTGGCAGAACCAAGTCCAAGAAGAGGAAGATAGAAAGGGGTAAGGGTGTCCCTTATCCTGGTGAGGGAAGTACACAAAAAAGGCAAAAGAGGTGCCAAAAATGTGCACAGTATGGTCACTATGACAAGACATGCATCAATGTGCCTGCAGATGTGGCAAACACTACTTCCCACCCTGACACAAAAGGCAAGGCTGTTGTGAACACACCATGGGTAGTAGAACAAAGGAGAATCAAAGCAGCTAGGGCATTAAACAAGGTAAGTTCTTCACACTTTCCATGTACATATGACTCATACATTTGATTTGGTTCTGTTATTTAACTTTGTGTCTTTATTTATTATGTGCAGGTTACTCTTGGTGCATCAGCAGGTCCCAACAGCATTGCTAACAAAAAATTCCCCCAGTAGGAGGCTAAAAAGAAAGCTGCAGCAGCTGCAGCCAAAGCAGTATCCAAGGCAGCAGCATCACAAGGAGCAGCATCAAAGGGAGCAGGACCAGGACCAGGACCATCTCAGGGTGCAGCAGCATCAGCACAGGGACCAAACACAAGGTCTAGGACAGGTGTCGAGCCACACTTGTGCAGCCAGGCATCAACAACAACTACAGCAAAGAACAACAAAGCAACCAGGACAAGCAAGAACAAAAAATTAGGATAAAGTTTCAAAACAGTTGGGTCTGTTTATTTAAAGACAAACATTCTGTATATATTGTGTCTGTTGAACACATGTACTTATCATTTTATTTTTGTGCTAAGTCACCTTTTGATGAACAACTATGTGTGTAAATTTTCTATGTTGAACATATCAATGTCATTCACAACACAACATCATTCCAACTTCTCAAATATAATATTGCTTGAAATTGATAAGTTCATTGACTGTAACCAAGTTCAAATGAAAACAGAAACAACTAACATTCAACACATTACATAAAAAAACTTAAACAAAATGTCTTAGAATCCCTCAAAGTCCCCTAAATCAGTTTAATAACTACACTAATTCCTAATATCATAACAACTACACTAATTACAACTAATACAACCAAGCACACTCTTTCAGTAGTGTCATTGCTGCTTGTCATCTTCTTCCTGTCTCTAGACAAGGCCTTGCATTTAGTCTTCAATGTGTCAACTTCATTAAGCAAACACCTTCTTTGACCAACAAGATCATCAACCTCCCTTTGCAAAGAATTCATCTCAGATTTCATCAGCTTCTTGTCTAGCAGCAACTGATTGATCACATCCCTTTGCCATTCACTTTGCTCTGAGTCAACCCATTCAAAACATTTGCATCCCCTAGTCTCAGTATTTGGATCCAAGAATTTGCAAGCCTTGAACTTGCGCCCTAGATTGTCTCTTGTCCAAGATGTCAGTCTTGCAAGTGACAATCCACAGTTACACTTCTTCAGTTTAGAGAGGGATTCAGTATTCCAGGACATTATAACTCCTGCAAAATTTTAAAAAGAAAAAAAAAAAGGGAATTAGACACAATAACTATAACAGCAACAACTGTTACCCATATCAATCTCACACAAACCTTGTCAAACTGGTGGTTGAGCACCATTATAGGGATAGCCAGGGGGTGGCCAATTCCCATTTTGTTTCTGCCTAAACTCCCACATACAATCTGCCAAGAATCCAGGATCATCAGTGGTGCCCACATGAATGGTGTAGATGTCCTTATTAGGCAGCCTCCTAATCATTTTGAACACATCACCATCATCTTCTAAATCCCTATATTTCCCTTTATAAATGTACTGGAATTTGGGAAACATGATATCTATAGATCCTTCTACTAGATCATCCATTTCACGCAAACGGTCTTCCCACTCTAGGCATTTATGTCTACTTCAATGTCAATGACTACACTCAAGTACTTAAATCTGAAAACCACCCTATTCTCATCCATTCTGCAATAAAATTGAACCAAACATGCAACCAAAACACCCAATTTCAGATAAATTACTTATATGCGACATGAAATTCAAACACACAACATTTCCCTAAATTATTCAACTCAAGAACCCTAATTTTTCCATAACATAAAATTATAACATAATTCAATTATACACACAGTTGACAATACAAATCACAATTTCACAACATAAGAACCACAGTTATAACACAATTCAGCTGAATTCAACTTCAATTTTAACATTTCGACAAAAAATTACTGAGACCTTACCTCTTTTTTTAGCCAACAGCAGTGCTTCAAAAATGCCTCCAAAATCTTCCCAAACCCTTCTCAATTCAACAATGACCAACAACCTTAAGATTAATTCAAATTCTGACCATTAATTTCACTGTTTTCATTCTAAATTATAAACCCAATCAAATTGGGGAAAAAATAAGAACAGAGTCTTTCTTAACAAGGGGAAACTTTTACCCACTAGCCGTTACACTGGGACCCACTAACGGAAAATATGACAGAAGCTTAACGGAGGTACTAATATCTACAGTTTTGATGTTTTGGAGGTACCAATTTAAAATAAAATTTTAGATGGGTACTAAAATTCAATTACCCCTATATTTGAGGTACCAAAATCCAAATTTTCCTTAATTAAATTGGTTTTACTTGGTGCAACAAAAATAATAAGGGCAACACAAATAATTCCCAATTTTACAGAGCACCTAACTGTAGTCGCTGCAGCAGCTCAGGTAAGAGTCAGGATTACAATCACATCAAGGAATTACCTTGTAAACCTGCAACAGATGGAATACTCAATAAAAAGCTCAGGATAATAAGCGTATCAGCCTAAACAAGTTCTATCCAGGTAATCAAGAGTCGAATGCACAACAGCAGCAGCAAATGAAGCCGCACAACAACTGTTATAGCAGCATCATAGCTGTGCATAAAACCATTCTCCAATTTGAATATCCAAGTACGCCAAGCCATCTAACTCAGCACTAGAAAGAAGAGAGTAATGCACCTCCAGGCTCCTGCAAATCATAAGTCCCCTTTAAGTCTTGAAACTGTTGTAGCATCTCTAAGACTTGGGGGCCTAGATGTAGGGGAGCAACTCAGCAAGGCTCCATCTTTTGGGGGTTTTTTTATGTGGAATGACTCCCTCTGAGTCATATCACTAACAAAACTGGTTTTGAAACAATCAATTCTGTTCCAAAACACTACTTTTGCTCCGAAAAAAAACAACTTAAGCTATACAAAACTGCTTCTTCCCTTGTAAAGTTCCTTCAAAGAGGAGCTCATTGACTTCTCTATAATTTATTTATTTACACTAATGCTCTTTTATGCCAAATATTTGTGTATGACAGACATAAAGGATTACTGGGTGACATAGTGCAGAAAAGTGCACCAAGTCAAGTGACAACAGATAGGGAACCCTAAACATCAAAGTGAGAAACATGATATCAATTCTTACTCATCAAAGTGGGGATCCAATGAATTTCCAGCTCAATATAAGGCTAAAAATGAAGAAAGCATCCAAGCCTTCGTCTTAACCAAGTCCAGCATGAGCATGTCAAAATTTAGCCAAGACATGGTCTTAACTAGGTCACACTAAAAGCAACAGCCAAGACTTGGTCTTAATCATGTCAAGCTGATTGAAGTCTACAACAACAAGCAGCAACAATTCCTTAATATTCTTGCTTTTGTAAGGGGGACGACATGTATTTTCTAGAGCTGTCAACAGTGTCGTGTCGTGTCATGATCGTACCTGTGTTTTAAATTAACCCGATTTTTCATGTCTGGGTCATGTCCTGCTATCTTGTCTTGTTAGTTTTGTCAGCTCTAGTTTAAATTTCGCTCCCTAAACTAAGTGTGAGCAGGAAGATAGTTATTCGGTCACACATCGCAAAGAATCAATGAGGGGTACCAAGGATCTCTTAGGTACTTCTCTTTGACACTCTTGCAGGCAAAAAGGATATAGTTGAATGCCACCAAGGCACTCTTGGTTCTGCTCCATTCGATTCCTCAGCACGTCAGCCAAAACAGGCTGAAGGAAGACCATTGCCTAAGCCCCTACACAAATTAAGTAAGGAGCACAAGAAAAAGGTCACAACCAAAACAAGCTGAAAGAAGACCATTGCATAAGCCCTTACATAAGTTAAGTAAGGAGCATCCGCAAAAAGTCACGGCCAAGACAAAATTCCTCGTGATATTTTCAGCATTCAGTGGGGAATGATCAAAATTCCTCGCCTAAGCTCAGCTCGTAATTTTTTCAGCATTCAGCGGGGAGTGATCAAAATTCCTCGCCTAAGCTTAACTCGTAATTTTTCAACATTAAGCGGGGAGTGATAAAAATTCCTTGCCTAAGCTCAGCTCGTGATTTTTTCAGTATGTAGCAGGGAATGATCAAAATTCCTCTCCTAAGCTCATCTCGTAATTTTTTAGCATTCAGCAGGGAGTGATTAAAAATTCCTCGCCTAAGCTCAGCTCGTGATTTTTTAAGCATTCAGCGGGGAATGATCAAAATTCCTCTCCTAATCTTAGCTCGTAATTTTTTCAGCATTCAGCGAGAAGTGAAGATATTCCTCGCCTAAGCTTAGCTCGTAATTTTTCAGCATTCAGCGGGGAGTGATCAAAATTCCTTTCCTAAGCTTAGCTTGTAATTTTTTACCATTCACCAAGGAGTAATAAATATTCCTCGCCTAAGTTCAGCTCGTAATTTTTCAACATGTAGCGAAGAGTGATCAAAGTTCCTTGCTCAAGCTCATAATTTCACAAGCTTCAGCGGGAGTAATTGAAATTCCTTGCTGAAGCTCATAATTTCTCAAGATTCAGGGGAAGTAATCAAAATTCCTTGCTCGAGCTCATAGTTTTTCAATCTTTAGCGGGAGTAATCGAAATTCCTCACTTAAGATCGTTATTTCTCAAACTTCAGTGAGAGTAATCAAAGCTCCTTGATTCAGCCCGTAACTTCTCGGTTTTCAACGGGAGTAACAGAAATTCCTTGCTTAAGCTCGTAATTACAGTTCTTTGTGTAAACAACGACA